TTTCACCTATGGACAAGTCCACAAATGTCACAAGTCTAATTTTTTGACCAAATGCACAAATCTTATTGTGGCTAGTAGCGTAAGATTGCGTCTGTTGTTGGCATGAGCTTTGGCCACCGTATAGATGACAATACGACTTTGTCTAGTTCAATCAAATTTTTTGAGGAACGTCCCTGAGAAGGACTGTGTCAAGGGTTTTCTACTCCTTTTTTCCTTATCACCAAATCCTTAAACTTTCAGCTCGCCGTATTTTAAGTGCCTACGTGCTCCAGAGACTCCTTGCATTTACAAACATCACCACATCTAAACCTTCTCCGAAATTCGAACTTTGTCCTAAGGCTATTGCAGCCGTTTAACATTACCACCATAACGAAAGGCAACCTTTAGTCACTATGCAGTTCTTGCACCGTGACAATCTTTAACTAGTATGCAGTTATTACACCCAAAAATACAGCAGGCAGGTGCAACGCTGTTTTCCGTTACCACTATTAAGAAGTGCAACAAAGCAGGCAGATGTAGTAACTAATTCCGTTACCATCAGAGAGCATTAATTACAGAGGTAAGTGATCATTCCGTCTCGTTATAATACACACACGTATTATTTACAATATAATACACTCGTTAAAAGCATTATTATTAGGCAAACGCCTTCATTATTGTTAAGCTTAACACCTTCGATCTTCCATCAAACTAAACTAAGTTACAGAATATCAACAGAGACAAGATGTTCGGAGCGCCACCTAGCGGCGCGAACTATCAATTTATAACAAATGTAGCGTGAAAATTCTTTAACGAATTATTTCGTTTTCCAAAATTCAATATACGTTTAGCAATGTATTCAGATTCTTCCTCATTTGACATTTCACTCACTTTTGTACGTTTAAAAAAAAAATGTACGTAGCTCAATATTGTTCTGGCGGCAATTACATCTGTGCAATATAGTACATATCCATTTGTCACTATTTTCGATACACCCATACATTCCTTTCCACACAGCTTGAAATATTTTTGTTTGTTTGTTTGTTTTTCCATGATAATAATTTCTTTTAAATAATGATCATTATTTCTCTGGGTAGCTACTATAATTGCGCCATTATTTGTGTTCTGCTGAATAAGTGCTACAGCTAAGAGAATGACACTAGTGCTGCCTGAAGTATATCAAGGTATTATGGATCGCTGTTGACAAAATTTCTGATTTTTTTTAAAATTATCTCACAAATTTTATTTATTAAAAATTTAAAAAAAATGCACGTCGGTTACCGCAACTTTGTAATCAAACTGAAATAGTATTGTTATTTTTTATTTCCAATTTTTTTCATGTATTTTTTCAAGTGCTCGTTTCATATTTATAATTTCTTTTTGCTTATTCTACTTTTTTTCGGAGTTCAGGTGTCTGACACGTGCATCATAGGTTCCGAACCCTATTATAAGCCTTTCTATTCATCGAAAGTTAACAATTCTTGAATTAGCCCCTCACTAGGGAAGTTTCTGCGCTTGATAAAGCTGTAACAGCAGACGATTTAGCTTTCAAGCTCTAATGTCTGTTTAAAGAAGGGAATTGCATTACAATTTCGAACAGCAGATTCCCTATTTTAGTAAGAATTTACATTACATGACTCTCATTAGAATTATTAGCAGAGAAACGTAGTCACTTTGAAATAGCATTTTCCTCAGTTCCATCTTAATTGTTTTTACATATATATATTAATTGTTGATGTCGATTAGTCGATTACATCCCTGAAAATGAAGAGTAAAAGCTATTGTAATAAGGAACCATATTTATATAACTCTTTTATCTTAACCATATCTATATATCTATTCGATTTGTTTCCATTTTCAAAGTCCTCTTTTTTTTTTTTTACATTCTAATGTAACATATTTTATGTTATAGAGTATTTTCCCGCCTTCTTATCATGCCATGGTGTACTGGCCAGCACATACGATGCGTATTCGAGAGGTCCGTGGTTCGATTCCCGGCGAGATCATTGGTCATTCTTCAGGGCTTCGCTTCGAAATAACCTAATGTCTCTACCGTGGCGCCCAAACTAAAAGAGTGATAGATGATGATTGTCCACCACCAAGATTTTGCGACTGGGTCCCCTAGTCTCCAGTTACACTTTAAAAGGGGGAGTATATAATTTATTTCTCTCGCGTTCTTAGCATGCCTTCGTGGTGTAATGGCCAGCATACTCGACACGTATTCGAGAGGTCCGTGGTTCAAGTCCTGGCCAGGGCATTGCTCATTTTTCAAGTCTTCTGCTTCGAAATAACTTAGTGTACCCACAATGTTACATTAGGCTTTTTCTAATTATTTTTATTGAGTTTAATCAGCTTTAAATTCGTAGTTTATAGTACAACTTATTCCATTCATTGAACTAAATATTGCAGATTTTCCCATTCGTTGAAATGAAGCGAATTAATACTTCCAGTGAACTCTAATTCAAGGCCTTTTTGGACTTGTAAACCAGCTAATTCGATGTTATTTCCTTTTTTGAAATCATTAATTTTTACTCTATTTTTTATGTTACAGTAGACATTGAAGTTTTTTCCAACCTTTGTTGAGTTCACTCAGTTTAAAATTCGCAATTTATCTAAATTCATTAAACACCTTTTAGAGCAATGTATATATGTTTTTCATTGCATTAAACATATATTTTATTTTATACATATGCTTTTTTGTTGCTTTGTGTTACAGATTTATTTATTTACTTCTTTCATGACACCAAACCCTATGATGCCGCGAACGATGTAAATTCCATATTAATTTTTGGTTTTAGCATATTCTGCTTCCCTGCTTCTGGCAGTTTACGACTGTGCACTTGTATTTTGGTTTCCTTGCATGAGGTTTATTCCGAATTGAACATGAGAGGAATTGGAAGTGTAATTTTTATTTTATTTTATTTTGCATTATATATATATACATATAAATCAAAATCTAAACTAAGCTAACTCCAGTACCATATTTAGCGTGGAGTAATGATTAGGCACAGAAATATAAAAATTTCTAATGTAAGAAACATTGAAAAATACAAAGAGTAACGATACAACAGCTGTCTAAAATCTGTAATCCAACGCTGTACTACATACACGAGAAAATGCAAAAAGTTTTATTTTCTGAACCTGATATTTCTTTATATTTAGATTATTTAAATTCAGTATATGTATAATTACATACAGAAAGTCAACTCAGCTTCAAAACCCGGTGAACGAACTGGTTACATAGGCGTTTATGAGGTTTCTACCACGTGTAACTAGGATACGAGCCAGTTAATTTTCCTTGCAAAGATTTGTCAGACGCTTATAGCGGTATCGGCAGTTCAAGAATTAGAATAGTATGTCAAGCTTCGCAATAGAAATGCAGTATGTTTATTAATACGGATACTTCATGTTATTAGTTTATTGTAACTTTTCATTATTTGAAAAGATTTAACTTCTGCCTCTAGTTAATTAGCATAAAATAAACTATTATGTGAGGCTACTTTTCCCGTTCCATTCTTTAATGTGTATAGTCACACTGGTATGTTTGCAATTAGTTAACAAAATAATTTAAGACAGCTTTTGTATTGAACTCATGAAGAACATTGGAGAAAAATTTATTATGAATTATATTTTTATTATAATTAATAAAATATTACATATGTAATAAACGCTTTGTTTATTTTCATGACAGAGATTATTGAACATCATGATCAAACATCAAAACTGTAACATTTGTTTTCGTAGCTCTTGATTGAATGTAATTCTATCTGAATTGTCACTTATTAAAATAATATATGTTTTGTATCAAAGGTAACCTTATGTTTGCAATCAGTTAATAAGATAATTTAAGACAGCTTTTGTGTTGAATTTATGGGGAACATTCGAGAAAAATTTGTAATTAATTATATATTATTACTATAATTAACAAAATAAACAAAACGTTTATTACGTATGTAATAAACGCTTTGTTTATCTTCATAGCAGAGCCTACTGAACATCATGACCAAACATCAAAAATGTAACTTCTGTTTGCTTAGCTTTTGATTGAATGTAATTCTATCGGAATTGTTACTAATTAAAATAATATATCTTTTATATCAAAGTTAACCTTATCCTATTTAAATCATTTACTAAGATTTATGATTAAGACATTTCGCCTATTCAAAATATTTAATTTTGACGTAGTTCTGTCGGCGGAATTACTATATATTTATCTTATGCACATTGAAAATCAAAACAAAATATTTTAAAATATGGTATTTAACTACTTTAAACGTTTTACGGGTGGAAAGCGTCAGAGTTAATTTTGGCTCAGCGAAGGCCTATCACTGCAGGCAATTGAATTTGGGGAAGATTCTCGCCCTTTCCATCCAAAGGGTTAAAGTTTAATTATTTCTAGTCTTATGTTTAACAGGAATTCTTTATATTTCAGCTTCCTTAAAATTTCATTTCGCTCCACTGTAAACGGTTCGTGATGTCTTTCTTCAAACTTTTGCGAACAAATGTTTCAACGGCATTTGAAATGAACAGCACCGTGTGCTGAAATGGAATTTTAGACTTCATTCAAAGACAAATTTGTCTTGTTTAACTGGCGGAAGAATAGAAGAATTTTGATTTCGAGCAGTAGAAAATATTCTTTCGAAAACATACAGCTTGAATTTAAAAGTATTCTGATAGTTCTAGTCTTATTTCTGAATGAGGTTTTAAATATGAAACTTAACCTGATACTTCCTATTACTGTTCTTCTGTTGCCAATAGTATGTTTGAAATGCGGAGGGAGGAAGGAAAACTTTGCCAAAAATTCAGGAGCAAAGCTCCTAAACCATTTATTAAAAATTCTAATATAAACAAATAACTTTTGGAATTCAAGGAAATATTTTTAATACTGTGAAAAATAAAAAAAAGACAGTCAAACAACGTGCATAACAGCTATAAAAAAGTGAATGTTAATCACAAACCTTTTTCAGAATGCTGTCCTAGTCATGAATTTATGAGAAAGAACATTCAATCTCGAATTGATTATGGCTAGACGCGTTCTAAAGTGTGTGCAGTTAAATCTTCATAAATCCAAATCGGCGACACAACAGCTAATTTTAAATATGGAAGCTGATGATATTGACTGTGCTTTGGTTCAGGAACCTCATTATTACAAGAATGTTCTTCCAGGATATCCTGGCACTTATAGACTTTATTGTGATCCTAATTCTGATAATGTAAAGGCGGCAATCATTATTCGATCACGTGATCTATCAACATTTCTTGATTATAAAAATACGGATTATAATATGGTTACCTTGGATATTACTGTTGGCTCAACTGTGCTCACTCTTTTTTCATACTATTTTGAACCCTCAAGAAACATTTACCTAGATCTTCATAAAATTAGTCAAGTCTTTTTGTCCAAAAATCTTAATCGACTGGTTTGGTGTATGGACACTAATGGCAAATCTGAATTATGGTTTAGTCCGTATTCTGACTCTCGTGGAGATAAACTGAGTGAATTTATTTCTGCCAACAACCTATTTGTTATTAATGAAGATTATGGACCTACGTTTCAGGCAACTCTGGGTTCTAGTTATATTGATGTTACTGTTATTGGTTCAGATCTTCTCCAGGATGTTTCGAGTTGGCGGACTGTCTGAAAAAGAATCCCTTTCTGATCACATGATGATTGAATTTGAATTTTGTCTCTCTACGTTCTTACGAGACACCTCAAATGTTCCTTTTAAAATCTTCAATACAGGGAAAGCAAATTGGGATCGTTTTCGAAAATTTTGTTCTTCTCGCATCACCCGTTTCATTGATATTCTTAACGACTGTACTGACGGTTCTCGACTAAATACTCTTGTTGAGAATTTTAGTTCTGTTCTTCTCCAGGCATCTCAAATTTCCATACCTGTTAGGAATCATGGTAAGCACAATGTTCCTTGGTGGTCTGCCGAAATTTTTTGTATGAGAAAGAGGCTTAATGCCTCTAGGCGTAGATTTCAGCGTTGTAAAAATCCGCCTCTTAGAGAACTTTATAAAAGTAAATATCTTGATATAGAAAAGTTTACAATCTAAAGCTTGCCGATGCTAAATCTCAGTCTTGGAAAACATTTCTTTCGACCATTGATGTTCACAATGTATGGAAAAAGATTTACACGTATGGAGTTAAAAGAGATTTCATGAAAAAAATTGAAATAACTGGTATTTGTCTTTCCACTGGAGAGACAACCAACTCTTTAGAAGAGACAATTACTGCTGTGCTTCAGAAATCTTTCCCCTCGGATCTAGAGGAAAATGATGATGATTTGCATAAGGAATACCGTCAAGCTGCGCGTACTGCTTATTCTTCTTTTGTAGATCCTATGTTTTCTTGTGATGAAGTTAATACAGTTATTTCTATGCTGGAACCAAATAAATCACCTGGTCCTGACTCTATTTCGAATGAGATTATTAAACAGTTTCATTTAATGTTTCCTCAATTTCTCCATAAACTTTTTAACGTTTGCTTAAATGTTGGCATTTTCCCACGTGTTTGGAAACATGCTCAAGTAATTCTTATTCCTAAAGGAAATGAGTCTAGGATTCCTTGCCTAGATAACCTTAGGTGTATAAGCTTACTTCCTGTTTTGGGTAAGTGCTTGGAAAAACTTTTTATTAACAGAATTTGCTGGTATCTCCGCCATAGAGACCCTTCTTTCTGGTAATCAGTATGGTTTTACACCTCAAAAAAGTTCTGAAGACGCTCTTTTACGCTTGAATGAAATTGTTCAGAGAGGAAAAAGAAAAACTTGCACACTATTTTGGTCTTTTTGGATATTAAGGGCGCCTTCGACTATGCGTGGTGGCCTTGTATTCTCAATCTTCTCAAAAAGTGGAACTTCCAATGAATATTTTTTTCACTTGCTGCTGATTTTTTAAATGATCGGGCGGCCAAATTGCAATTGGGCTCGGCTTCTGCAATTCGTCACCTTGAAAGGGGTTGCCCTCAAGGTTCTGTTTCAGGACCTACGTTTTGGAATATTATTATTAATGATCTCCTATATAAAACTGGAAAATCTTGCTTGTTGTGATACTATAGCCCTTTGCGGATGATGTTTTGTTTTGCTTCCAGAGTAGGGACCTTTCTGCTACTTTTTTACAGGCACAAGAGACTTTAAATTTCGCCTCCAACTGGTCAAAAGGTTTTAAATTAGATTTTAATCCTGATAAAACCAGGGTTATGATTATTGAAAAGCGAAACATCTGTTATGATGCATTTCAGTTATCTCTCGATGGCACCACCCCTTTGACTGTGGTAAAGCAAATGAAATATCTTGGGGTTTTTCTTGACTGTAAATTTTTTTGGAAACAACACTTAACTTATGTATCAGAGAAATGTGATAAATTACAGCGTGGATTAAGTCGTATTGCACGCAACACATACGGTATTAATTACAACGTTCATTCGCTCATCTGTAACAAGGAATTGCCCCCTTCATTATGTATGGCTCTAGAGTCTGGGGTATATCGCTCAAGAAGAAGATAAATTATAGATATTTACGACGTGTTCAAAGGCGGATACTTCTGCGGGTCATATGTGGATATCGTACCGTAAGCTATGAGTCTGTTTATGCAATTTCTGGCTTTCCTCCAATTGACATTGCCATTCTTCATTCTATTGCTTATAAGGAAAATGTTTCTGCTTCTACTGTCTCTCAGTATGATTGTATATTACCTCTATCTGATCTCCCTCATCCTTCAGAAAGAAATGCTGTTAATTTTATTCAGTTTAGCAATAAAGTCGTAGATGATTCGCCTGTAACTTGCTATACTGATGGCAGCAAAATTGATGGCAAGGTTGGTCTCGCATTTGTTGTCTTCAAAAATGGTCTTGAATTTGAGCACTTTCAATTGAGAATCAGAGATGAATGTACCGTTTTCATAGCTGAACTTTTGTGCTTAAACTTCGCCGTCAAATGGGTCTCTAAACAAACAGTGCTGTTTCAGACTATCTCATTTGTACTGATTCCCTTTCATCCTTGGAGATCTTAAAATGTATTTCTTCTTCTAATAATATCATTATTGAGATTCAAAAAGAACTGAAAAATCTAAAGGATAAAAATATTTCGGTTTCATTTTCATTTGTTCGTGGTCATACAGGTGTTGTTGGGAATGAACGAGCCGATTTCCTTGCTAAGACTGCGACTAAGCAGGAAATTGACACTTTTGTCAATATCCCTAATTCCTTCTATAAGAAGGTCATGTATAAAAGCATTGTGGAGTCGTGGAATCACGAATTCATTAATTCAAATAAAGGGAGTTTAACTAGAAGATTTTTCCCTTCTATTAAAATGAGATTGTCGTGTCATCATTTCTTCACAAATTATAAATTAACCCAGTTTCTTACTGGACATGGGAATTTTAAAAGTTATTTGAACAGATTTAAGTTGAGTCCTGAGTCTGTCTGTGACTGTGTCCTCGGCGGCGAGGAGAATGTAGAAACATGTGCTTCTTCTATGTCCTAAATATGAGAACGAAAGAAAAGTCTTGAAACTGGGACTGAAAAATTTTAATATTATATAACTGGCCTCCAGAGTTTTACCAATTTATTTCCGAGAGAAGTGCTTTTAACACTTTTTGTCAATTCATTGTAAAACTGTGTAATCATCCTTAATTTTATTTTAGTTTTCTCTTCTGTTTTGTTTGTATTGTGTTTCTTACTTACTTCTGTAAGCCCCATGTGATACTATGTGGTACATGGGGAACTTGTTGTGTTTCTTTTAATAAAAAATAAAAAAAAATAAAATAAAAAAAAAAGTGCATAGATAGAAGGGATAAGAAGGCTTTGTATAATTTCGTGAAGTTTAAACATAAGATTTAATTTGATGAGAAATGTAGACGTTTCCACTGCTGCCGAGAGAGTATTCAGTGAGTGATAATAATTGCAGAATATTTAGAGGTATTTACTTATATTATTCAGAATATTTTTCTCATTTGAATGTAATGAAGAGTCCATATTAAGTACTGTAACAAACAGTAATCATGTAATATCTTTAACCATAAGGAAATTTGAAAGATTTCATAACAATTCCCTTAATTTACTCGATATTTGATCAAAGTCTTTAATTTGATATAATATTTTTTTTTAACTTTGTGCTCTGTAATACTGTAACTAAATAATTTAGGAGATAGGAGAGTTTCACGCCAGCTTCATCATTAATGTTTGTTTAATTACAGTTTTCCTTCGGCATCGCTCTCATATGGAGCTGAACGCATTACAGAGAAAATAAGTTTATACACGAACTGAAGCATTATTTATAAAAAAAGTTACTCAATAAAGGAAAATAATATTAAAATTACTTAGTTTCTTCGAAGCAGTTTTTTATCTTACTCAGAAATCAAGTATTTTCGTTTGAAGTCGAATTTCTATTTAATAAGGATGGTAAATCTCACAGATTTTAATTGTGCAGAAAGTTTGGTTATTCTATTAGAATACTTGCAAATATCGACTTTTTCTCCCTAATGTGTCATATATCCAATATTTCTGCTGAAGAATGCAGAGTTCCAAATCACTTAATTAAAATTTTTTCAGAGCAATATTAATTAATTACTTTACTTTATCAAACGAATATTTTTTAAAGGAAAAAGAAAAGAAAAAATTAAAGAACGAAATAATATATTGCTTTAGATATTGAGTAATTTATTTTTCATATACGCAAGTTACTCTCGAAACAATTTTACATTAAATTCGAATAAATATTTTTATGCATAGTTTTTAATCTTATGATTACCCCTACAATTCATTGAGCAAGCTCAGTGTGAGTTGGTTTATTTTTAGTGCATTTAAATTTAAAATAGAATTCCTTATTTTTTAACATCACTAAAACCGTAAGCATATTCACTAATGCGGTTATTTTAGATCAAGATTTTACTCAAAAAGAGAAAAGAAGAGTAAAGTAAATGCAAAACTGAAATAGTCCTAGAAAATGCAAATAAAAGTTCAAGCTTGTTCCTTTTCCTGCTCAGTATAAGATTAAACTTATAAGTTGATCGAAAAGAGAAGTAGATAAATAAGCAAAATTCAAGATGAGTTTCATCAAGATCTTTATTTAGTTGACTGAACAGCAATTTCATTTGTAACTTGTAATAAACAAATATACGCCTACGCTCACAAAATATTATCAAACTAATCACAAATGAATATATTCCTTCGACTTTCGACATATTCTTTCAATTTTTGAATAAACAAGAAATTATTCATCGTAAAATTAAGATAATATAAAAACTTATATACAAAATTCAAAACAAAAATCTCAAGCCAATTCTTCAAATAATTTCAACAATAAGATCAATATGTGCATCTTTTACGTCATGTTATTATTTTGCATTATATTATAGTTTAAAATTAGGCCTTTGTCGTGCAGTGAAAGAAATAATGATCTGCATGGCAGATAAAGAAAATTCTCCTAAAAAAAACTTTATCATAAAATTTCAGAAGACTAAATATTTTAAGCCCCAGCCAAATTATATTTTGCAATGTTTCTTTTATATAATTAAAAAGAATAATCTAAAAATATGAGTTTAGAGAATTCACACAACACATAGAACGAATATCAGTTTTTTGAAGGATAATGTTCTGCAGGAGTGAAAGCAATAGGATTTGCATTGCGAATGG